AGGGGGTGGATTGTGAGATCCCACATCGGTTAACGAGGGCATTCTTTGTAAGGGTTGGAAACCCCTCCCTAACAAACACGTCTTAAAATCTTGAGGAAAAACTAGGAAGAAAAAACCCAAAGAGAATAATATTTTCAAGCGATGAACTTTGACCGTTACAAAATCGGAGTGTACTAACAAATACTAATTTCTATCATTACTTCTGAATGACCCTTTCTTGTTATCTTTTCTTACATTAAAAGCTTTCTAAGATCCGGTAAGAAAGACGGTATTGCCCTTTTGGTGTCTAAAAATGTCACAGTCAAAGTGTAGGGAACATTATCTTTAATGTAAATGCTTTCATTTTTGGCTTCGGAACAAGAATTCAGTTGTGGCTAAGCAAAGAAAGGGGAATAAAGGTATCAAATAATCGAAGTTACGCGTTGAACATTCTAAACCATTATTGATTTGGCCACTTGGTTGGTAGAAAAAGACACCCACACTGTGACTAATAGGACTGGAGAGGTATGGGATAGGTTCCGTCCTTTCCAGTTTTGTGGAGTTCATTAGGATCCAATTTCACTGATTTAGTTCCTACTTAGAACAATTCTATGTCGGGTGATTTTATTGGATTTTTTTTAAGATACATATGAGTGAGAACAAAACATGGTAAAAAAGCTCGTGTGGGTCTGTGTTGATAGTCTTCACTGTTAGAAGTGAGGTGTAACAACATGACTATGTCACATGCGATGCAGGAGAATGTCGAAGCGCATAAGTGCTAAATCTTAGACATGGATCGTTACATTATCATTTTATCTTTCTGCAACTTATAAGATGGAACATAGTATACAAAATCTTCTATATTTCACTATTGTTTGCTTGCTTTTCAAGCCTTTAGATGGTGACTTTTTTTCAATGGCATTTTAGTTGTTGACCAAAAAAAAAAGCCTTCAATTTAGAGGTTGTGAATCTTGAATAGGGCTTAGATTAGGGTTTGGCCAATAAGAACACAAACCCAACCCACATGAGTTCATAGCTTTGTTGACCAAATTTGTCAAATTTGTGTGCAATAAACTTAAATTCTTGTGAGTAATTATGAGCCAACAAATATGAAGTAATTTACAAGTTCACTCTTTTTGCCCTAAACCCACTGGTAGAAAACATAAACCTTTTTTTTAGTGTTCATCTCATAGTTTCGATAATGATTTAAGAATTAGGTTATAAATTGTAACTGTTCAAACCCACCACTAACTGGTATTATTTTCTGGGCTTGCTAGAGAGAGGTTTACACACTATTATAAGAAATGATTCGTATGGACTAGTGTCATCACTGGCACACTATCTAGTTGATACTATATGTAATAGTCTAAGTTCACCGCTAGCTGATATTATTCTTGTTAGGCTTTCACTTTTGGGCATCCCTTAAAGTTTTAGAACATGCTAAGGAGAGGTTTTTATGTCTTTACGAGGTATGCTTTATTCCCCACTCTAATATATAAATATTTTATTAAACAAAACATCTAAATTAAGTTCTGAAAAACTAAAAAATAGTTTTTTTTAAAAAAAAAAAGAAATTGTGCACAATTTTCAAAAATTGAATATTAAAAATGAAATTGTTACCAAATGTTTTCAAACCCTTAAAATAGTTTATAAAGTTTTTTTTTTTCTTCAGTAAATATGATTTTATAAAATAAAAAAAAAAAAACAAGTTTTTTACAAGACTTCTTTACAAATAGTATTTATAAATTATTGGAACTTCGAAAATTTAAGGAGTTTAGTTTTTATTAGTCATGCATTTATTTTAATTAAAATGGTTTTTTTTTTCTAGTAAACGAAACTCGGTAGGTTTTTTTTTTTAATTAAAAAAATCGTGTTTTTTTATTTTTTATTTTGATGCTATTTACATCAGGAAATAGAAAATATGTTTTTTTAAAAAAGAAATAAATGTAGAGTAATTCAGTTTAGACTAGCTATGATATTTATTTTGATTTTTTAAATATTTATATATATATATATATATATATATATTTTTTTTTCTATAAATCAATAATGTAGATTGAATATACCGCCAATTATTTGGGCAGCCTCTGGATGTCGGCATGTGCTGCCTGCACCGCCCCACGTGATTATTTAGTTGGAAAAAATTACGTGTCGTTTTCTCATTTGCTATAATTTACGCTTGTGTGGGACCCTTTTTTTTTATTAAAATACCCAAAATGCCCCTCCTATCTTTTTTTCTAGGGACAATATCTTAGGGCTAGATAGGATTCTAACACTCTAGTTGTTGGATGATTAGAATGGTCACTATGATATTTGTACTCGACCTCCAATAATATAACTACATTGACTGCTAGGGTTAATCTTGATTTCAAGTACTCTTCTCGTGAACTCCTAGTTACATTTTGTAGGTAGCTTTTCCTGAATTGACACACGTGGTTTATTTCATAGGTATCTAATGAAGTCATAATATTGCTACTGTTAACATGAAGGGTCCATCCACGAAGGTGTTTTGACACTATTTATAAAGTATAAAGTTATGTCGTGTGAAACAAATTAATCATAAGTGTCTCTCCCAATTATCTTCTAGCAAAAGGCCGTTCCTGTTTTTTAGGTGATAAATGTTCTAATAGAAAGAAGAAAATATAATTATTAGGAGCTTCATTTTTTTTCATCATTAAATTTAGAGTATTATTTAACAAAAAGATATAAAATAAACATGAGTTTAGAAATAATAATAAATCTTTTTTTTTAAAAAATGAAAATAATAATAATTACAACAAATATATAAAGAATTATATATATATATATATTGTTATTGATGTGAGAACTAAAATTTGTGGCTGAAATTTGCGGTTGAGTTTTCTTTTTCAGTCAAAAAAAAGTGTGGGACCCAACAATATTCGAAAAAAGACCATTCATTGGCCTACACGTGTAGAGTTTTAAAAGGTGGAGTGTACCAAAATAAAGCTGTGAATGATTACACCCAAACACAACCCAACCTTTTCTCTCTATCCTTAGATTTGGATAATAAGTATGGACCACGATCCCAAAGGAACAGACTTTCTAAAATCTTCCTCCCCAACAAAAAAGGAGTTGGACTGTGGGCCCCACCTATAATTGTCTTATTATTATTATTATTATTATTATTATTATTATTATTATTATTATTATTATTATTATTATTATTATTATTATTATTCATTATAGGATAAAATGTCTGATAAAATGAAAAATATTCTTAGAATTTTAAAAAAATTATGACTGATAATATATGGACAAACTTTTTAATGTTATTTTTAAAAATTTATGAGTGTTTTTTAAACTTGACACGAAAGGTAGGGGTGTTTTTGAAATTAAAAAAAAAATAATAATAATAAAAGTATATTTTTTAAAATTTAATAGGTTAATTTTTTTTTGAAAATTCAATGATATTTTTTTAATACGATGGTATTTTTAAAACAATATATTAACGGTTTTCATCTCAAATTAATAGTTTGCATTTTTTTTTTTAAGTTAAGGGTATTTTTGAAATAAAGTAGAAAATTTAAAGGATTTTTTTTATAAATTCAGTCTTTCATTAAATATAAATTTATTTTCAAAATTTTATTTGATTAGATATAAGTGAATCATTGTATTTTTTTTAAATAATATTATGAAATAAATAAAATAGTTTATTTTAACATTTTCATTAATGAATGAGGTAAAAATAATTATAGATTTAAGAATAAACTTTAAATGATAATTAAATATAAAGTATTTTATCAATTTATTCCAACATAATTTTGTTAATAATGAAACTTAATTTGTTGTGGTTGGAAGCTTTTGAAGTTTCAAAATCAAAACTATGTCGATTTTATTGAGCTCTCGAGATGTTTTCATGCAACACTACAAGTAGAGATGTTTATTTATCCTGTAGAGCTCGGTCCTATAAAAATTTGTTTTAAATCGAATAAGAATCCTTATTTAAAGTGGAAATAAAGGAGAAATAGAGTTGCAGATGGAGATTATATTCCGAGTCCCACGATAACCAAATCTTCACCTCACTCTAACTCAAATTTTAATATTCCAACATAATAAAAAATTGGAACGTTGTTAGATTTATTAAGATATTTTTATGTTTTTAAATAGAAATTATATTGAAAAAATAAAATTAATCTATTTGTTGATAATATAATATTAATAAAATAATAATAATAATAATTTTGACAATAATTATTGAAGTGACACGTTTATAAATGATGGGTAATTATTATTTTTTAATTGACAAAAAATTTAAAAGATAACATATTTTAATTTGATGAGAATTTTCAATTCTAATAATAAAATAATTAGGAGACTTAATGTGGTTCTTACAAGGCTTCTTGAAGCCATATATTAATGGGATTTGATATTTTCGTCTCTTATCTTCCACGTGTGACCAAAATTATTAAAAAGTGTCCAATTTTATGTATAAAATACGTTAATTATTGGTTCACTCAAAGATATATATATATATATTGATTCATTCATGACATTTGTTATGGGTACTAAAAATATTAAAAAATATATTTATTTTTTAATACAAGTAAAAATATTAAATTAATTAAAAAAAATTATTTTAAAGAGTGGTCGGATATTATATAATAATAAAATTAACAAAAAATTTATGTTTATTCGATAATATATACTTTAGCATACCATTAGTTAGATTTTCTGTTGTAACAAATATTTTATTTTTTTAAAAGAAGTATATACCTAATTTCGGAGAGCGATATAATTATATACCTCTAATTTAAAGAAGCGTTGTATTTTAATATTTAAATTAGTGTCTAATAAAATAATCTTTTAGTTTAATCTAGTAGTTTAAACCTTTAAAAATTTATAATTTAATTGAATTTATAATTTTAAGAAGTTAAATCTATCAAATATAAAATTTAATTGAATTTTAATATTTTATTTTATTTACTTTTTTTTTTTTATATATTTTTGGTCAAAAAAACTGAATAAGGAATGATTTATATACAGTTAACCGGTGGATTAGAGTTTTGGTGGTTTCTCCGTTTTCTTATTTCTTCTTCTTATGGATTCTGATCGATTCCTCCTCTTCTTTACTCAAACTGCTGACCCAGTTCGTCGGAATCCCCTCCGCCGCCCTGTTTTACGGCGATTTCCTCGTATTCCGCCTCTGTAAGCTGCTTCACTCGTCTACCATTATCCTGGACTTGGATTTTTTCTGAGAAACCAAGGTTGTTTTTCTGGTTTTTTTTTTTTAATTCCTTTGCTTTGTTTGAGTTCTGGATTTTGAATGCGTTGTTTTTTGGTTGTATATGAAACTGTTGACAGAATCAAAGAAATGAAATCTGGGTTTTTGTTGTCTTGTCCGTAATTTTTCTCTCCCTTTTGTTTTTTGTTTGTTTGGTTGTCGAGAAAATTTGAAGTGATTTTCTTGTCTTACAGCTTTTGTGGGATTGTTTGTTCTAAAGGATTGTGCAATTTGTAGCACTGAATGAAGAGATTTTTCAATTTAGAGTGTTAGCATATGAAAGTATATGAATCTGTTCTGCAAATCATAGCATATGCTTTTGTTTGGGAGCTGAGAAAAGTTCAAAAGATACCAGGAAATTTTTCTCATAGTGGAAGAAAGAAGATGTAATGGTCCAAATCTACGTCAGATATTGCCCTCTTTGGGCTTTCTCTTATAAAGAGTGTTTTATTCTCCTCTCCAACCAATATGGGATCTCACCCCTCCAATCCACCCCTTTTGAGGTCCAGTATTCTTGATGGCACACTGCCTCATGTCCACCTCTTTCGGAGCTCAGCCTCCTTGCTAGCACGTTGCCCGATGTCTGGCTCTGATACCATTTGTAAACCCAAATCCACCACTAGCCGATATTGTTCTCTTTGGGCTTTCCTTTATAAAGGGTGTTTTGTTTTCTCCCCAACCAATGTGCGATCTCACAATCCACCCCTATTCGTGGCCCAGCGTTCTCACTGGTACTCGCTCCCTTCTTCCAATCGATGTAGGACTTTCCCAATCCACCCCTTTGCTGGCACACTGTCTCGTGTCCACCCCCTTCGGAGCTCAACCTTCTCATTGACACATCGCCTGTTGTCTGGCTCTGATACCATTTGTAACGGTCCAAGTCCACTGCTAGCCGATATTGTCCTCTTTGGGCTTTTCTTTTCGGGTTTCCCTTCAAGATTTTTAAAACGCATCTACTAGAGAGAGATTTCCACACCCTTATAAAGAGGGTTTCGTTCTCCACCCCCAACCAACCAATGTGGGATCTCTCATGAGAGGCTTCAACTGGATTGATTTTTTATGTTTATCCAAGGCAAGTTGGGGATAGAAAATTGGTCAACTTTCCAGAATTCTTGTCCTTTTTGTCTTACATTTATGCTTTTCCTCGAAATTTAATAGCCTTCCTGTGAGTTCTTTACAATATTCTGAGAAATCTTGTGATAATGGCTTACAAATTCACTGTGACATGTCCTTCCTGTTACATAAAAGTATAAGATTCTTAACTTTCTGAGTCAGATCTTGTTCTTTACTCAATGAAACCACTCCTTTTGACTGTCCTGTTATTACGTTTAGTGGCTTGAAGCTGTTATGCAAAACACCTTTCCCTTTATTCCTTTTCTAATCCATAGTTTTCTTTGGATTTAACTGATCATAAGCTGTTTGATGTTCAGAAACTGATTCTTTAAGAGAAAGAATCAAAGTTTGGGATCTGTGGGGTTGTGAGAATTGAAATTTCAAAGCTGATGGGGCATTTCTCCACCATGTTCAATGGGCTGGCAAGGTCGTTTTCCTTCAAGAAAGGTAGAAACTCGGCGAGTCTAGTTGACGAGGGAGGGCGAGAAGCTGCAAAAGCCATGATCAAGGATGCGAAAAGGAAAGACTCGATATTGTGCACCACTGGTGTCGTCAATGCCGAAGGTTCGAATACTTTTGCTTCGGTGTTCTCGAAAAAAGGCGAAAAAGGAGTTAACCAAGATTGCTGCATTGTGTGGGAGGTATGAGAATTAAATGAACAATGTGAAGTTTTTGAGGGTTTTTTTTTTTTTTTTTTTTTTTTTG